AGGATTTCTTCTTTGCCTTCCCAGTTGCTGGCAATAAACTGACTTTCTGAGCTGGACCCTCCATCATACCTGCAGTGCTTGCTAGCTGCTGAGTAAAGAGAGAGATCCAGCTGTCAGAGCGGGATCTCAGTGAGATCTTATGGCAATGCATTTCACATTTTAATGACACAAAGAGTGAAAAGTGTTTGCTTCATATGTTTTTATATGGTTAAGCATGTATGTCCTTAGATAGGAAGAAACAGAATAACGCATCCATTGTGCCATTTATGAGTCTATAGACTTGACGTGTCCACTCCTCCAAGCTATTTTCTAAGTGATGAAAATAATCTATTCAATCTTATCATATATAAAACCATACCGCATCTCTAGTCATCTGTGGTTTCTTGCTCTCTTCTGGTTCTATGATGTCATTGTTTTATTTTGTGAGGCTAAAGCTACACATGATATTCTAGACATGAGCATAACATGGATCTTTCACGGTGGCATAAAAATGTGTCTGCTTTACATTTTGTTATTACAGGGATCAGCCCTTGAGTCCTTTTTAAAGACTGTGCCACACAGCATTTCTTCCGGTATCAAGGCTGACATAAGTGACAGGTTATGTGCTACAGTAGTTAGTTCAGAAACGTCATATTTTAGTTCCTTTAAAACGCTTTTTGAGTGAACATCACCTTATGGCAATTCTTATTGTTTGATATTATTTACAGCTTCTGAAACACTTTCAGATGATGACAGACATTGAGAAACTTCCTCAGATTGTGAGAATATCTCTAATCTTTTTTGATAAGAACATCAGTGAAAACAATTAATTTAGTATTCAGTACTTTTGTAACTTGATTGCTCGTCTACCCAATAATCTCTCTGGGAGGCCTCCTGCTTCCAGTGTGGTTAATTTAACAAAATAGCATTATTAACTTTTATGTCTGTAGCAAGTTGATTCTCAAAATACTGTAGTTTATATTTAACCTGACAGATTTTATGCTTTTTTTATTTCCTGTCTTTCTCCATTGAGATGACTTACACTTTTGAAGGGTGTCTTTCCAAATTCTTCTGCATTCTGTTGTTTTGGGTTAGGTGTTGGGGTTTTTTTCTTTATGAGATAGTTGATTTTTATATTTTTTTAAAAAAGATGGCTTATATGTGGTTATTCCGAGTCTCTCATATACTTTATCTCTAGCCTGCCTCCATACTGTTTGCATTAAATAGTTTTAGTAAAAATAAAAATGAAAAGAACAGCTAACTTTTATCTGCTCCCTCTCTGAAAGTTAAATTTTACTGCCACAGATTTTTTTTTTTTTATCCTTTTCCTTCTCAACAAGTATGTTGACTTTCAGTCCAGAAGTGGTTGCCTGATAACTACTTCTTGAATCAGGTCCTATGTACTTCTCAGAACTAAATCAGCTTTTCTTCTTGCTGGTTGTCTGATTACTGGCTACAAACAGTAATCACTTATGGTACGTAAAAGCTTAATTTCTTTTGTCACTTCCTGATTTGATGCCACATGTGTTGGAGCATAATGAATTTTGCATTATTGTGTAAACTCTGCACAGTCAATATAATTTCACTTACTGTGTTACGTTTCTGTCACCATCTACGTCATGTGGTCAGTAATGCAGCCCTAGCATTATATTCTCCCTAGTCAGGCATGAATTCTGTAAATAGTGGCTGGAATGTGTTGATAGAATTAACTTATCTGGTTTGACCCTAAACTTCCTTTGATATAGTGTGTCCTGGGGACACTTTGTATATTCCAGTAATACAGTGTCCCTTTGATACTCTTCCTTCCTCCCAATTTCAGAGTCTGTCTTTTCCATCTAAGAGCAAAATATTTTAAATTTTAAATGTACTTGAAGTTTTTTATATGTGTACTTAAATAAGTACCGCTAAAAAATAGTTGTATAAATGAAACAGACTTTTTTATTATTACTTTTTTTCCCCCCCACAAAATAAAAAGATCCTTTTTATTGAGATTCTCTGAATTTGGGAAATTTGCTCCGATTCAAGAAGCCTAATGTCCATTTTCCCAGCTGGACCTTCTGTTGTCTCTGTTCTGCTTATGACTTTTTTTTTTTTTTTTTTGTAGCCAATGAGACTTTATTATACATTTTCAAGCTACAGCTCATGAAATACAAGACTATTCTAGATTATACTCCAGTCATAGCCTAAACCTTGATAGAAAGTTGTTTGCTGTATCCTTCTCATTTTAAGTCAACATGAGTTTTTCAGGAGAACACAAAACCTTTCCATGCTTTGCTTGTGAAAGACACAGAGTACTCTGTTGTTTACTGGCACTAATAATATTTCCACATTTGTCTCCCACATAGCATTTATTTTATATTTTCACTCTATCTTATTGACTATTTTGTGATTACATTTATTCCCTTGTGCTGCCACACTCTATGGATAGTTTGTTCTGCAATATGTTTTGACACTCAAAGTGAACTTATTGAATTTCTCTGTACTTGGTATTACAAGATAGCTTTTCTCCTCAGCAGTCGTATGCTTCTGACAGCACTAGCCCTTTTCTTCCTGTTGTTTAGATCATCTTTGGCACTTACATTCTTTGTTCCATCAGACAGAGCTGTCTAAGACTCTGCTGGGCTCCCATCCATCAAAGCCTGCTTGCTTTTTGTCAATCCCTCCACAACCAATAACTTGTACCAGAAGTGCTTGACACTCAGCAAAAACCACCTCCCAGCTGTTAAGTGACTTTCCTAATTCACAGTTCAACATGAAGCAAAGGATTGACCAGAATACAGGCAACATTGGTGGTTCTTTTCGGTCAACAGTTAGGCAGAAAGTCTCAGTCATTTTACTGAATTTCTCCTGCAGTGGGTCCTCCTCTGATATTACAGCCTCCATCTCAGCAGCACAGCCTTAATCCTCCCTGAATGGGAAAAGACTTACAAGGCATCACTGCAGCACAGCTGCCACAGAAACAGTTTCTGGCAAAAAATATGGCACTTGAAGTACTGCACTGATTACCCTCACCTGCATTTGTAGTTTTCCCCATGAATATTTGCTGACACAAAGCCGTGTTGAAGGACCCGGGGTAAACGAAGTTGGCCCAGAGGTTGTGTGAAGGCAGACTTTCTATTCAGGAATCTAAACAGCACATATCCCT